AGGGGTCACAAGTAGCTAGAGGATTATGGGTGCTTTGAGCTCGTGTCTCCAGGCTTCTTCCTGCTGTCCTTGGGTTGAGGTTGATGTCCATCCTCCCTGACCTCCAGAGTGGTAGTTTCTGGTTCAGCATCAGAAAACCGCTTCCTGCTTCCTCTCAAATGTTCGGGCCCGCTGGTCCATCCCTGAGGGCAGGGCTGGCTCCGTCCTGGGCTGTCTGCAGAGGGGCCGGCGACATGGCCTCTGCCTCCCTCTGGTCCTTAGGAGAGGGAGCTGGAGCTGCAGAAGGAGCAGCGCCGACAGGAGGAGAATGACAAGCTGAGGCAGGAGTTCGCGCAGCACGCCAACGCCTTCCACCAGTGGATCCAGGAGACCAGGTGCCGCCCGCTCCCCCAGGCCTCCAGCCCCCGGGCGCGGGCAGCTTTGCATGAGGGCAGGAGCCGTGCTGGGCGTTGAGGAAGGGGTCGGGGTGCAAGAGCGGGAGGGGCGGCATTAGCGCAGTGTTCCCGAAGGTGCTTTCCCAGTTGGGGGGACCGCGTATGGCCCCTGGTCAGCCCTGAGCAGCGACTGGGGACAGATGTTGGGTTGAGTACGGGGTGGGTACTGACGTTGGTTTGGTTTCTCTCTTCTCTCCCGTGTCTCCCTCCATTCCCACCTCCTGATTGTTGCCATCCGGACACCACTTTGTCCTGCGGCTGCTTGGATCCCTCTCCACAGGACATATCTCCTCGACGGGTTAATATTGTCTTCTTACTTCCCCGGGCTCGTGGTGTGGTGGCCTCGTGTGCTTGTCCCTCTGTCCTGTCTCCCTGTGGCCTGGCTTTCCGAGGATCCCAGGATGGGCCTTCCTGCCCTCCCTGCCCTTCCTGCCCTGGGCAGGCTGTACTTCCCCTCCCCCATCCCTGACATCTTACGGGGAGTGTGTGCCCTGCCCCACAGCCACTGTCCCTGACAACCTACATCTGGGGAGGGGAGCCACTCCCACCTTCCTGGTTCAGTTCCAAGGGCCCTCGGGTAAGGAACATGACCAGGCCAGAGAGCAGAGCTAAGGCAGCGCCTCTGGGAACCCTGTGGTTCAGCACGGGATGGTCCTGGCTGCCTCTCTTCCTCATGTCCAGTGGCCGTGGGCATAAAGCAGGATGGCAGTGCTTAGGGGGCTCAGGCTGGTTCAGTAAGTCCCAGCTGTGTACTGACCCATCTCCCAGTAACCTGTTTTCTTGGGGTTGGGGAGACAGGTGTCATTTACCCCAATAGAAAGCGGAAGTGCCCCGTGTTCCTGAGGAATAGAGACGGCTTGGGAGGAGTCCGAGAGGAGCGGGGCTGTTCCGCCTGCTCCCAGTAGGAGCCTCTCCCCAGGCCCTGGTTTCTGGCTGGGTGGGTGTCACCCTTGTGTTCTCCCCCAGGCTCTGTCGAGGCCAGGGTTGGTGGGACACAGTGTCTTAGACCAGCACCCCTAAGGCATCGGGCAGTGGGAGGAATGGGCCCACACGGACCTTCCCCATGTGCTGAAGGCAGGATGGTCAGGATTTAGGGATGACTTTCTAGCTTGAGCTTGTGAGCAACCCTGGCGTCTGCTCCCCTCCGGCCCGTGGCTGTCTGCTGGTCTTGGTCTTGTTTTCGTACAGTGTCATGCTCCCCTTGCCGTGCGGCTCCTCCCCAGCCCTGTCCAGTCTTGCCCAGCCCGTGTGCGCTGCCCCGAGGCTGCCTGTCCCCCCCATTCCGGCCTCAGCTCTCCCTCCACCAGGTCCTGCCTGGGCCCAGGTTGCCCTGCCTGTGCACTGCAGCTTGGGCCTGTGGCGTGTGTCTGTCGCGTGCCCTCGCCTCCCCTTCCTTTGGGTGTTCACTTGGTTTCTTTCTTTCACTAGCATAGCGTACCGTCGGGTCATTCGTGTCTATCAGTATGAAGTTGGGGACGATCTGTCCGGAAGGTTTTTCTCCTCTTATTTCTCTTTTTCCCTCACTGTTTTACCGATGCACTCCGGCTTCCCCAGGCGGCTCCGCTTCTGACTAACCCACTGCCCTCGGCCGCTTGGGACGGGTCTGTCCTCCTGCCCCTGCACCAGCAACCAGCCTCCCACCCCAGGCCCCGGGCGTGTGCTTGCCTTGGGGACATGGCCTGGCTGTGACCCGAGGTGCTGGGGCAGGAGGCAGCCTAGTGCCTGGCCTTGCTAGACACTCTGACCTTGGGGTGATTTCTGAGCTAACCCTGGCTCGCTGGGTGTTAAAAGGGTAGGTTGGGGCAAATGTGGGTACAGGGGAGGCTGGGCTAAAATTCCACCAAGGACACGCGCACAGTGTGACTTGTTTTTGCACGTGATCCTCCCCAATTGTCATTCACCAGTAACCTTCTGTGACCTTGCACTGTGTTAACAGGAAGATGTAGGCTCCCCACAGCCCCTGCTCTTCAGAACTTGGCCCTGGATGGAGCCTCTGGCACTGTCTCTGATCATGGATCTGAACCTGGGGCTCAGCCCCCTCCCTCCTGTGGGAGAGTTACAATCATTTTAAAACCTGTGTCTGGTCATGACCTCTTAGCACCCAGTTTCTGTGTCTGAGGGGTCACCTGACTGCACCTCCCCCTAGAGTGTGGCTCCCTCAGGAAATTGCAGGAGACTGCAGGGAGTTCTGGGGGTGGCTGTCAGCTTGTGAGCCTCCCCTCCTCCCTAGGGTCTCCCCGCCTGTCAGTGGCAGGGCTGTCCGTGGCGTCTCTCTCCCTGTGACTGCAGAGGGGGTGCGCTGTCAGGCCTGCAGCCCTCTCTGCTCCCTCGAGAGCCTAGCTTGGGTCTGTCACAGGCTGGCTGGGCCTGAGGAGCCACATGAGAAAGGGTCTTGGCCTGGGAGCAGGCTGGGTGGGGCTCAGCCCTGGCCCAGCAGTTGGCCCGGGCGGGGGGCATGCCACGTGGAGCAGCAGCTTCCACCTCTGAGAGAGGAAGACTGTCTGCTGCTCCCGGGGCCACTTAGGGGAAGATGGCCAATAGACGGGTGGTTCCCTTAACGAGGAACTGGAGGCGGCGGGCACCGTTTCATCTAAAGGAAGTTGGTGTCGAGCTTGCTCGGGGCCCTGCCTCACTGTGCCTCCGTGTTCAGGTCCTGCATGGTGGAAGAGTCCGGGACCCTGGAATCCCAGCTTGAAGCCACCAAAGTAAGTGCCCCGAGGGAGGGCTCCTGGCCCACCTAAGACCAGTCACCCGTCCACCCCAGCAGGCCTGCCTGGTTCAGAGTCAGCCATAAGGTGGGCTGCTTGGGTGCCCTTTTTCCCTTGGCTTAAAGCAGCCTGGGTCCCCACTGTTTTGAAGAAAGTCTCTGTAGCACAGTTTCCAGGGTCTGCCCACGGCTCGTGATGCTCACAGTGAATCTTTCCCTTTGCCGAGGCTGCTGCTGGTCTCAGGCTGGGCAGGCCAGGCCATTAACCAGGCTCTTGGGCCTGGTGACCAAGGTCTGTCCCATACACCTTTGCTCCCCCACCCCTGCAGCGCAAGCACCAGGAGATCCGAGCCATGAGAAGTCAGCTGAAGAAGATTGAGGACCTGGGGGCAGCCATGGAGGAAGCCCTGATCTTGGACAACAAGTACACGGAGCACAGCACCGTGGGCCTGGCCCAGCAGTGGGACCAGCTAGACCAACTGGGCATGCGCATGCAGCACAACCTGGAGCAGCAGATCCAGGCCAGGTGCCCACACAATCTTGGCCACCTGACCACAGGTCACCCAGCGTCCAGCAGTCAGGTTACTGCTGGGTGGGGTGGGGGACTCCGGCCCTAATTGTTCTTTCTTCCAGGAATACAACGGGGGTGACCGAGGAGGCCCTCAAAGAGTTTAGTATGATGTTTAAGTGAGTAACCTGTGCCCTCTGGCGGGGGGGGGGGCTCAGCAGGGCCTATGTGTTGAGCTGCTCCCTGCTCTGTGCTGCAGACACTTTGACAAGGACAAATCTGGACGCCTGAACCACCAGGAGTTCAAGTCCTGCCTGCGCTCCCTGGGCTACGACCTACCCATGGTGGAGGAAGGGGAGCCCGACCCAGAGTTTGAGGCCATTCTGGACACGGTAGATCCAAACAGGTGAGCTTCAGAGGGTCATGGAGGCGCCTCTGCCCCCGGCACCTGCTGCCCCTCCTGCTCACTGCACTTGCCTTTCCCCGCCCCCAGGGACGGCCACGTCTCCCTGCAAGAATACATGGCTTTCATGATCAGCCGCGAGACTGAGAACGTCAAGTCCAGCGAGGAGATCGAGAGCGCCTTCCGGGCCCTGAGCTCTGAGGGAAAGCCTTACGTGACCAAGGAGGAGCTGTACCAGGTCTGGGGCTCTGTGCCCACCCCTACCCTGGGGAGGGGCAGGTTTCCTCCAGAAAGTAAAGTAGGAGCTGCCCCTGGGTGAGGGCAGAGCCCAGTCTACAGTACAGACCCACCTGGGAGCCCCCCTGCTAGGGCAGGGGCTTCATCGCCATTTACAAGTGAATCTCAGGCCAGGCCGGTCCCGTATCCTCTCCCAGAACTGGCCTTGGGCTCCCGGCCTGGGCACTAGTGGGTCTGAAGCCCCACCCCCACCTCTGTGGCTCACGGGTGTGTCTTCCTCTCCAGAACCTGACTCGGGAACAAGCCGACTACTGCGTCTCCCACATGAAGCCCTACGTGGACGGCAAGGGCCGCGAGCTCCCCACGGCCTTCGACTACGTCGAGTTCACCCGCTCGCTCTTCGTGAATTGAGCCCTGCCCTGGGTCAGCCCTGCCCCGCTGCATGTCAGTCTTCTCTGCTCTTAAGGAAAACGTCCCAGACAGTGTCGCTTCCCGTGTAACCTTAGCCTGCTTAGCTTGGGACAGCGTCGTGGAAACGGCGCTTCAGTAGCTGCTTCTGGTCCAGGCATCGCCGCGCTGCAGTGGGACCAGGTCCTGCCTCGTAGCCAGCTGCCCATTCCGACGCCAGAAAACTCAGCAGCTGGCTAGTTTCCCTCTTGTCCTGCCCCCTTCTGTTTTCATGTAAAAGACAAATAAATGACGACTCCCCAAAACACTTGTCTGTCTTCATTCAGCTTCCATCAGAAATACACAGCTCAGCCCAGATGGAGCCTCTGATTTGGGGACACTCCAGGCCACAGCTGTCCTCAGGTGCCCACCTCTGCAGCCAGCTGCTCCAAGCCCTCAGTTTCCAAGGGCCCCTGCTCGGTGAACTCGGTGCTCAGCTGCCACACCTTCACTGTGCCCTTGGCATCGCCAGCAGCCAGCAGCTGAGTTTGCTGGCGATTAAATTCGAGACAGTAGACAGGGCTGTCGTCCTGGGTTTGCTTGACTGAAACGGCGGGTTTCTGGGAGCTTTTCTGGAGGTCGAACAGCTGCACGTCCCCTTCGTGGAGAGAAGGGGGTGAGGGGCCCAGGCCTCAGTGAACCCTGTGCTCCTGGGGGAGACTCCCGCAGCCACGACTCAGAACAGGAATGTTGCCCAGTCAGCGCCCCTTCCCACCCAAGGGAAGACGTCACCCCATGTGCAGTCTGTCCCCACCCTAGAGTCCAAGACAGGCCGGGCTCAGGTCATTTAAGTGGACCCAAGCCTGGTGTCCCATTTCCTACCTTCACCAGAAGCTGCCGCAAACACCAAGGGACGCACTGGGGACCAGCGCACAGCAAACAGGTACTTGTGGGACAGCTGCAGGGAGGTCAGGGGCTGGGCCTGCAGCATGGAGTACAGGTGGACGTGGCCATCGGTCCCTGCGCTCAGGAAGAGGTTCCTGGATGGGGTGCAGGGCAGAAGGCCAGCATGTGGATGAGCGCTGGTGTCTGGTAGAGCGGGGGCCTTCCTGTCAGGCTTCTAGGCTCCTAGGCCCCAGAAAAGCCTCCCTGGACCCCCAACCACCACCACCACCAGAGTTCTGGTTACCAGAGCCTGAGTGGGGATGACCTGGGCCCCGGCCAGGCGGCAGGTCCTCAGGCAGCTGTATGGGGGGCGCGGCGGAATCCCCCACCTTCCTGTGCCAGGGGCCCCGTGGCGGGCGGAGGACGACCCCAGACCTGGCCTCCCTACCTGTGGAAGGGGGAACAGCTCACGGAGTAGACCGGCCCGCCGTGGGGAGCAAAGGTGAACTGTGCCGGGGCCCGCAGGGGCACAGAGCTGGGCATGCGCGTGAGGGCAGCCTCCTCCGCTGCCAGGGAGCACTTGAGCGGGAAGCCACCTTCCGTGCCCAGGACGAAGAGGCTGGGGTCAAAGCTGGAGAAGGCCACGGCCGTGGTCCCCACCTCGGTCTCCCCCCGATGCGGCTGTGGAGAAATGGACACAGGAGAGCTGAGGAAGCCGGCGAGTGTCCCACGGGAGGTGAACCGGCAAGTCCGCGCTGGGCTCAGCACCAGTGCCAGGGGCCCCGCACCTGCCCGCGAGGCTCACCGCTCATGGGGGTCCCGCCGGCCAGAGCTGCGTCAGGCCCCACGTACCCACGTACCTTCCTGAGCTTGGTGTTCCGCGGCAGCTGCTGCACCACCAGGGCGAAGCCCTCCGCGAGCTGCAGCCGGCCCGGCCCGGCCCCCTGCCAGAGCAGCACCTTCCCGTCAGTGGCCACACTCAGCAGCCGGAAGCGGTGGCTGAAGCGAGGCTCAGGCAGCCAAACCACCTGGGACAACAGTGTGGGCACAAGGTCGAGAAAGGGTTGCCCGCCCCTGGGCCTACCCCCCACCTCCCAGCAAGACCAAACGTCGCCCCCCCCCTTCTCTTCCAGAAAGAAAGGAATCCTGAGGCTGGGGCCTGGAGTCCCCTCACCCACAGGGCCAGGCATGGAGGGTTCCAAGGCCCCTCCCCTAGTCCCAGCAGAAACCAGGACGGCTGGAGGAGGCTGGGCATGGCCCTGGGGGTGGCTCCTGCTGGAGGAGGGGGTGACTCATGCCCTGGGAGCTCCAAGAATGCTGAAGGCAGCTGTCCAATGGCCAACTCCCTGCTGACCTCCCCCCCGTGGCTGCCAAGCGGGCACCTCCTCCTGCTCTGCCTAAGGAGCAGGCCCGAGGCGGCGAGGCGAGGCGAGGCGAGGCGAGGCGAGGCTCAGAGGGATGGGGAAGGCCTCCCACCGGCCCACACCGGCCGCTCTGACCTGGTACACGGGGTCTGTGTGCGTGTCATCGGTGAGGCCTGTACGCCAGAGCAACGGGTCCTCGGGGCGGCTCGTGTCCCACACCAGCACCTCCCCACTGTAGAGCCCGCCTGCAAACCAAGCGGGCCAGGCAGGCGCTGACCCACGCCCAGCAGCAAGCACCCACCCTCCCTCCGCCCACTGACCAGGACATGAAGCCTCTTCCCTAAAACCCATCCTGAAGAGAAGTCTGACCTCCCAGGCAGGCCTCCCGATGCCAGGCTGACCCTGACCGGCACACTGCAAGCCCCCCCCAGCACGACTCCTTCCCCAGAATAACTGGCTCCTGTCACCAATGACAGCTCCGAGGTGCCCACTCTTGTCCTGACCAGGCCGCGCCTCCCCATGGCCCACAGCCCTCCTGACTCAGCTAAGGACCTGCCTCCTCTTCCTCCGAGCTCCACAGCTCGGACAGGCCCACTCAGCATCCTCACCTGAGCTCAGGGCCACCTGTGGTCTCGGCCTGCCAGCAGTTCTGCCCTGGCTGTGCCCGGGATAGAGAGCCCCACTCTGGCCACCCTCTGCAGGGTAGAAGGCGGACACAGGGCAGGCTGTGCAGCTCACCTGCAATCTGGGAGGGCTGCGTGGGGTGGAAGGCCAGGCACATGACAGCGCTGGGCACCTCTACCACTGTGGACGGCTGCCGGGGACTCAGGCTGCGCCGGTCCAGGTTCCAGGCACACACGAAGGACTTCAGCGTGCTCCAGTCCCCATCATCCAGCCTGCCCGTGGACACACCCCAGCTGGCTCTGCCCTAGCCCAGGGCTTCATCCCAACCCACCCATCCCCACCTCTCCCCCTACCACCCAGACAGACTGGCCTGTTCCCATCATACCCAAAGAAAGGGGCACAGGCTCCTCCATGGGCCCCGAGGGCATGACTTTCTCTGGAAAACGGTCCCCAGGAACCAAGGGGAAACAGCTCACAGAGAAGGCGAGCTCCTCCCTCCCTTGCCACCCCGGCCCAGGAGGCCTTGAGGAGAGAGTCCCAAGATGACCAAGTGCTGGGCCCACCCTTCACAGGACCACCTTGTGTCGCCAGGGAGACTGGCTCAGACGAGGGCCTGTGGGCCTCCCACTGCCCACACCGGCTCTTGGGCTACTCACCGGCCATAGGCACAGGCCACCACCGAGCCCGTGCTGTTCCAGGAAACGCTGGTCACGTGCAGACCCTGCCCTTGGGCTGGTGGGTAGCCCAGGGTGTGCAGGCAGGTGACCTGCAAGAGACAGACTGTCCCCAACCCTGAGCCCAAAAGCCACCCAGCAGGTGGCCTCGATACCACCTCACAAAACCACACACAGGCCTGGGCCTCCCAAAGCCTTGAAAGCCATCTAAGTCTACCACGCAGCCCTGGAGGAAAATGGGGAGTCTTCACCCCAACATCTCCCTGAAGAGAACGCCCCAGAAATGCAGGAGGGAGGACGAGCCTTGTGAACCCGGACAGATGCCGGCCCAGAGCAGAGCTGGGCCCTTTCTCGTATCTGTCCCACACACAATTTCAGAAACTCTGCCCCTGGAGCTGGACGGAGGTGGCCGCCCGATGGGAACGTGCTCAAGACCACAGGGCTGTGAACCTAAAAGTGGTTAAAACAGTAACATGCACGTGGGAGGCAACCAATCGCTGTGTCTCTCAGATGTTTCTCCCTCTCACGTCAATTTTAAAAAGTAATAGCTGTAAAAAGAGGGTAACGTAACACCCAGGGACCAAACGAGTTCAGAGAAATGTGGAAAAGCCCTAATGATAAAGAAAAAGCCTGACCTCTGGGAACGCGGCTGTAACACGGGCCAAGCACTGCTGAGGGGCAGGCAGAGGGCAGCTGAGGCGCTCGCGCCTGCTCCGAAAGACACGACTCTGCGCCTGGGCGGCCTCGGCCACTGTTTCTCGGAGCCCTTTCCAGGGCCTACCAGTGATTTGGTGGGAACAGGGCAATTGCACCCCGCCGGAAGCGGACAGAGGGGAGATGGAAGAGAGGCGGAGGGGGGCTGAAGACCTCTGAATACATAATTACTCGTCGCAGTTTCTTTCTTAATCTTCACCCGAGAATATTTTTTCCATTGCTTTTTCAAGAGTGGAAGGGGGGGAAGAGAGAGAGAAAGGTCGATACGAGAGAGACACATAGATTGGCTGCCTCCCACTTGCGCCCTGACCGGGGCCAGGGATCCAGCCCACAACCGAGGTTCGTGCCCTTGGCTAGAATCAAACCTGGGACCCTTCAGTCTGCACACCAACACGCTGACCACTGAGCCACACCGGCCAGGGCTCATCTCAGTTTCTAAAGGAAGGAAACACTTTATAAAAAGAACTGTGGCCCTGGCCAGTGTGGCTCATTGGCTGAGCGCCACCCCACACACCAAAAGGTTGCCGGTTCAATTCCCAGCCAGGACACTTACCCCAGGTTGAGGGTTTGATCCCTGGTCAGGTGTGTACAGGAGGCAAGTGATCGATGGTTCTCTCTCTTGCTCTCCCTTCCTCTCTCTCTGAAATCAATAAAAACTTTTTTTTTTTTAAGTGTGAACCAGCACACAGATGGCCCTGCAGACTGGGGCACTTAGCACTGCGTGAGCAGCCTGTCTAGAGACAACGAACTGGGGAGAGCGAGATCCAGCCCAGTGTGGAGCAAAAGCCACGAGCCGCTCATCCATTCAGAGTCCCCCTGGTCTGAAAGCCCAGGCTGTCTCGCCGGGCACCTGAGTTCACAGGTGACGGCTCTGAGCTGTGCCTGGAGAGCAGAAAGACTCGGAGATGCTGAAGTCACTAGAGCACAGTAGTGAAACCAGACAGACCGGGGCTCAAATTCCAGCTCGGCCAGATACAACTGTGTGACCTTGGACAAGTCACTTAGCCTCTCTGAGCCTTTTCTCTAAGGAGATGGTAACAGCTCTCACACAGTTGTCCCAAGGAGTAAATGAGAGAGCACAGAGAAAGCCCCACCGCGCAGTGCCTGGGAGACACGGCCAAGCGGTGCGGAGAAAAAGACGCCGCCAGACTGCCCAGGTTCAAGCTCTGCCCCCAATGCCTACGAGCTCAGCGCTACACTGGACAAGTCACTGCAGCTCCGAGTCTCCATTTCCCCACCTGTAAAGTGGACGTAACAGTGGTCCTACTCCAAGGACAGCAGAGAAGGCCCACTGACTTGCTCTTACAAAACAGCTCCCAGCACCTGGCAGAGAGCAAGAGCTCCGTGAAAGCTGCTACTGTGACTGGTTTGTTATTTGGGTGAAACAAAAGGTAGATTTAACATGGGGTAGAGGCTTGATCAGAGGCAGAGGAGGGGCACCCCAGGCCCGGCCACACCCTACCGTCTGCTGCTGCTCTGTCCAGTTCACCTCGAAGCCATCAAACGCGTGGCTCTGTCGGTTCTTGCTCAGCTCTCGGGTAACCATGGCCTCCACTCTCCGGAGAAAGTCCGCGAGCCCGGGGCTGTCATGCTGGGACACGGGCAGCACGCCCACTGGCACGGGTGCCTCGGTCTGTACCTGGGCATCTGCGTGCCTCCGGGTCTGGGCAGACGCTTCGGCCGTGGCAATGCTGGCCGTCTGGCAACTTTTCTGGAGAAGATCAAAACCCCAGTCACCAGCCTGGCCGGCATGGCTCAGAGGCGGCGCATCCATCTAGGATCCAGGAGATGGAGGTTCGACTCCCCGTCAGGGCACATGCCTGGGTTGCAGCTCCATCCCCTCGCCCTCCCTGGCTGCACAACTCCGCTGTTTCCTGGGGCTGACGGGCCTGTTATCCTGTCTGCTCCAAGGCTTCCCTTCCCCCGTTACTAGCTCATCTCCCTTAGGAGGAACCCAGTCAGTGGTGTGGGTGCAGATGACCCCTCAATCCTATGCTTCACTGAGCTGGGGGTGGGGGTACATGAGGGTGACCAGCCGGTCAGAGCACTGGGTCCCTCCCTCGGCCACAGTGATTGGTTCAGAGGGGCCCCGTGGCCCAGCAGGGGCCTGCCCTAGGACTTCAGGTGACAGTATTTGGGGAGGGCTCAGGAGTTCCCTCTTTGAAGCACCTGACAGCTGGAAGTCATGGAACTTGAAACAAGGGACGTGCAAGGAAACCAGCTTTACCAGGTTAACTGACATAAACAAGTTAATTAAGTTCCTACAACCTCTCTTTGAGGACCTGGTGGGATCTTAGAGCCAACAGCCGCCGACTAGCCAGCGCCCGCCCGCTAACCTCTGGCCCCCAGCAGGCCCGGGCTCCTCCCTCCCTCCGCAGGCAGGCCCTCCAGGGGGGCACCTTCCAAGGTAGGCCCCCCGCCCTGGACGAAAGGAAGCTCCTGTGCCCATGATGAGTTCAATGGCCTGAGGCGGGTCACTCCCAGCTGTCCTCTGCACCCTGCCCGCCCTCTCCCACTCCCTGTCCCTTGTCTAGCTGGGCGCAGGGACAGACGTCAGGTCAGGGAAGGAGCTGCCAGCCTGCCTTTCGATGGTGACCAGCCTCTACCTAATGAGGAGCCCTGTACCCCTGAGACTACTGTCCCCTAGGAGGGGCTCTCCTCACGCAGTCGCTCATCAGACACCTGCACCCACAGGGCAGCGGCGAGGCCTGGACCCCAGGCTCCCCTGCTCCGCGAGGGGGGCAGGGCCGGCGAGCCCGAGGGGGTGCGCTGGGACCACTGGGCAGCTGCCCCCGGAACGCGGAGCGCGCTCAGCACCCAGGTCCCCGCGCCCTCTGCTCGTCCATCTCCCAGGAAACCGAGTTCCTGCAGCACAAGGCCCGTCACGTCCCCAGCGCTCCCGCGGCGTCTATGCGACACGTGCACGCGGGCACACGCACAACACGCGGGCACACGCGCCCTGATTACGCATCCGCCTGCCGGGCACTGTCGGGGCACCACGGGTACGGCGGGGGGGAAAGTGCAGGATTCCCGCGCCCGGGCCCGCAGGCTGCCCAGCGGTGAGGCCGTGCCCGGCGGGCGGGCGGGCCCGATGCCCGGCC